GGGTAGTGCTTCCAATTTATAGTACTGAATGTTTTTTTACTTTCTAATCATATTAATTTTGGGAACTGTTTCAGCCGTGTGCTGCGCGTAAAAAAGTTTAAGTTTTCTCGGGAGATTCTGTTGGATGGCGTTAAAAGTGATAATGATTGGGACTTGTTCGTGTATCTGGCGGTTTCTTTCACTCGGGAAAAGCGTAACGTTATAAGAGGTTTGGTTTGAGATATAGTTGTGGTTTTCATACTGGTTGTGGTGCTTTTCGTTTAGAGAAAATACCTGACGAAGGAGGTGTTGTCAGAGTTCAGGAAACTGTTGGAGAAGTCATTTTGGAAAACGCTTTGTTGTCTGGAACAGCCGTACTGAAAGGAATTGTTTTGCCAGAAATCTTTGCGCGTCGTAATGTAATACCTATGTTGGAAATAATGTATAAGATAGTTTCCTATTTTCAAAGTGCTAAAAGTTCTGTTCTTCACTTGATAGCTGATTATGAAAAAGGTGATTTGGATATGTTTTGACAGTGTTTTAAACAGTACTGTTTTGTTCTAACTGGCTTATGACTCTTATTAGTGCTCATTTTATATTGTGTTATGATTTTTTAGATTCCAGTAATTACAACACAGTTTCTGCTCCTTTTTTGGCAAGGCTTTTGATTGATATTTATGGCGAAAATTATAGTGGAGACGAGACAGTTAAAAAGCTCTGTTTAAAAGCATTGGCTGGTTTGGGACAGCGGCTAAGCAGTAAGCTCTTATTGTAATGCTTAAGTGAGTGAAAGTTTGGCCATTTTAGTCTTGTATAGATTTCAGTGATTGAAAGGCGGTAAATTTTCTTTCCCGTCTTTTTTAAACCCGTACTTCGCTATGTAAGCTTGTGGTTGTTTAGGTGAAAAGATGACATTTGATACAAAAGTTGGTAAAGAATTATTAAGTTATTTGAATCGTTTTGACTGGGCTTTCAAATATGCTGTCGTTACTTGGCTCAGCAGCAGCCTTATGGATCCAAAGAGACAGGTTCTCACTGCAAATCTTAATCATTCGTGTGGTTTACTCTAGTCTTCTAACTATTGAATTAAAACGGTATTATTAGTTGTTTTTTGTGCAGAGATTTTCTCTTAGCATTGTTATAGATACCTTCAGATCCCAACTGGTCTCTATAAAGCTTTGCCAGAAGAAGAACGGAAGAATTATGAACAGATTGTAGTTGACTTCGACTATGTCCTCACGGATTGTTTTTTCCGATCTATTTATGAATTAGTCAGTGTGGCACCGCCACTTGCTATTGAGCTCATTCAAAAAGGTTTTTTCTTTTTTTCTTTTCATTTTTTTTATTTGGCGCTTGGAATTTACGCTTTAATTCTTAAGGATTCTCTGTTAAGCCCTCTGGAGACGAGTTGTTTGTTAAGATATCGTGTGAATTTATGATAGCTGCATCAGATCAAGGATGTGAAAGTGTCGAGAGGTTTAGCGCTCTTTATGACACACTGAAATGTTTAATAAGAAGTCTTGACTTTCCCGTTGTACCATTTATACCACTTCCAATCACAGAAAGTGCGATGTATGGTGAGTTTTCTTCTGCGCCTCTTACTTTTGTGCATAGTTTAATAAGTTATGGTATTTTCCTTGGGAATTCGCGGCCTTGTAATATTCAAAAGATTTGTTATTTTAGGATTGCGTTTAATAGAGCCCTTAGTTGTCCTCGGCAATGTGGTCATAATAGCTGCAAATTTTGGAAGTAATAGTATTGTATGGACTGCGAAAGAGAAGCGTCTTATTGGAGGTGGCTCAAACAAGGTAAAATAGTTTTTTTGCTGGGTAGAGGTAATGATGGGAATTGCTATTGCATTTATGGAAAAGAAGATATTTTCAGGTTGGTGAGAACTTGCTGCAACATTTTTGCCGCCTTTGCAAAGACCATTTAGACAAGGAATTTCAGGACTTGCGTAGGAGTCGGTTAAAATATGTTCCAGTTATCAAGTTTGTATTGGCTTAAAACGTCGATGATGGTGTCTTTTGCTTTTTAAGAAATGACTGCTGAACTTTTGCCTATTTTAGAGATCCACTGAAAGTATTTGGTGATGTTAAAATCGATCGTGTGAGTCGAGTTTTTACCCAGGTTTCGGAATTGTTTGTTTTAACGTCAATGATTGCTAAGCAGTTAAAAGAGGTTTGTTGACTTAACATTTGATAAACTTCCGGTTATATATAAAAATTCGTTACTTTACTGTTGGTTCACTTTCACTTCATTTAAGCTTCCAAACTGCCTGAAGATCTTACTAATTAAGTTATCGCAATACCAAAAGGAAATTATGCAGTTGTTGGCAGCTCCTTCCTTTGATAGCCTTGGTAATGATATGGTCAAGGTGCATCTCACTCTCATTTTTTAATTTCACTTATTGCGGACAGTTAGCGGCTCTGCGTAGCCGCTTATGCACTTTTTTTTTTTT